TTTTTTGTTGTTATATACCTGGATGACTGAGAAAACAAACTTTGTGTTTAAGAAACTAAAGTTCACCTCATCCTTTAAAAGACCGTCTGCCACCTTTGCACGTAAAGCTGCACTTTATTTCATCGTGTCTTTCACTGTACCTGCTGATGCAGAGCAAACAGAAGGCTTTCTAGTTGCGTTTCCAGTACTCTGCTGCCCATGTTGACAGACGCATCCAGGACTTGACAGAGGCTCTGATAAAACACACAAACAAACCGGTCAACTTCAAGCAAAGTTTAAGTGTCATGCAGCATTTATTAAGAAATAAAGGCACTGCTCAGACATCAAAGCTGACAGAAAAACATTTATTACTAATAAAACAACTTGCTCAGAAATAGAAAAAGCTTGTTTTGCTCAAACTGACCACAGTTTGTTCTGGACTGTTTGTACCCACCTTGCTAATGATGTTGTGCTCGGTGTTTTTCTTGTACAGGGACATGATGGCTGGGATGATTCTGGGGATCTGTTCTTCCAGTTTGTCACTGGGCATGAGATGACACATCGAACCCACTGCCTCAGCCACTGTCAGCCTCAGCTGAAGGAGACACAAAGACATGCAGGACAGGAGGTGACAGTGCTGTGCTGTACAGACTATTTACGGAAGGGGGAGTGACAAAATCTAAACCGTTCAAGAAAACCAGTAAAATAAAACTGAGCATGGTAATTATGATTTGGTTTCATTCTCCTCTGAACCACTACTGAAGAAGACCTAACGACCTGGATGGCTCTAAACCTCTTGCATTTGAATGAGGAGACTGAGGTTTTATTTTCTGGAACATCCACTGACACCCTGCATGCAGATCTGCAATTGGCTCAATATACTAAACCAGTGATCACAAACCTGGGAATCAAAGTAGATGATGATCTTAAATTTAATAATCAAATCAGGGCAGTGGTTAAATTAAGTATTTTTCAGTTACAGCTGGCTAAAGTTAAGCCAGTTCTTATAAGAACGATGTTCGAGACAGCAGTCCACTCCATCACCACTCGGCTGGATTACTGTAATGCACATTATACAGGGGTCAGTGCTTCCTCTATTGCTCACCTCCAGAGTGTTCAAAATGCAGCCGCACGTCTTTACTGGCACAAAAGCACATGAACATACTTTCTTCGTTTTAGCCTCGCTGCACTGGCTGCCTGTACATTTTAGGATTCATTTTAAAGTTCTTTTATTTGTTTAGAAAACTTAATGGTGTTACGACGACAGTCAGAAGTTTTGTTGTGTGCATGTATGAAGCTGCTAAATGTGTGAAAATTAGTGTCCAGGTGCACAAATATATTGGAGGAAGACACCGAGGAGCTGAACAAGGATCGTCTGCCCGACGAGGTGTGCTGCCCAAGAAGAGCTGCATTTGTGATGACGTCTGCTTCCACCCACTCTGCTCTCCTCAACCAGCCACACTGATCTGCTGTCACTCATCTGCTTACCGGTAATTAGTTGTAAATAGTTTTGTGAGGAGTTTGTAGGGGTGAGCTGACACTTTATTTCAAGACTTTTTCTCCTGTTTTTGCTAGGTTAGTTGAGGTAGTTAATTTAATTTAGGTAAGAGGAAAAATAGATGGTTTTGTTTGTCGTTTTGGGCTGGGCTCACCTTGATGCTGGTAAGACTAAAAACGTCAAACTATTCACAGTTGTAAATAAAATCACTGTTCTAACACTTTGGCTGCTTGAATAGAGCAGAAGGTGGAAACAGCCACATTTAATTACACCCTGGCGGCTGCGTTTGCCCCAGGTTGCAACAATTGGGGGCTCGTCCGGGATTCATACATGCACACAACAAAAATTGCGACAACAGTCGTAACAATGGTCTTCCTCCACTTTATCTCACAGAGTTGGTGCACATGACCTCCCATTCTCTCAGGTCAGCAGACCAGCTGCTCCTGAGCGTACAAAAACTAAACAAAAGCTTTGTGCTTTCTTTGCCGTTGCTACTAAAGAGCAAACCTGCTTTTGAGATTCAGACATGCACTCTCCCTGTCCATTTATAAACCACTCCTTACAACTCATCTCTTCTCCTCGGCTTTTGACACCACGTGAGATGTTTATTTATAGTCCGTTTTTTAGTTTATTTTAACCAATTCAATTTGCTCGTTTTAATATAAAGCCGTTTTTGGTTTGCTTTCATATGGTTTTTTTTTTATTATACGTTGTGACTGCGGTTTGTTTTATTGGCTGTAACTGATCTGAAGGTTGCTTAAAGTGCTTTATAAATGGTAATTTGTTCAAAACAAAACAAAAAAACAAAAAAAAAAAGGCTTTTTCCTCCCATATTATGCACCAAATGATATATTTACAATTTTTTAAAAAGTTCCAGTCCAGAGTTTGGTGAGACCCCATCAGATCCAGTAGCTGAAAATTAGGTCTCATTTTCAGTCAAAGTGTCACTCCTGGGATTGACATGGAGGTTCATATGGGGTTTTCTTTTCTTTCTAAAACTTTTGTGTACAATGAAAATTTTGGCTTTGCTTTTTGCTTTTACTGACCCAGACATAATACGAGCTGCAGGAGCCTGGTGCATCCAGTATTTACTTCCTGCTTTGGAGCAAACCAACAGGAAACCACTGTCAGACATTCTGAGCCACTGCGTCGGATTCTGCTGCCTACATGCATGAGGAGCAAGTTTTTTAAATTTTTATGAATGTCTACTTGTGCAACTTGCAAGTAAGCGTTCACCTTTTCACATCTGAACTAAAACAAATTTGTCGAACCATTCAAGAGGCAGAACTCTGCAGCAAGTCCAGCCAGGATTGAGGAATCTTTTCCGGGGTGAGTGAAGGATCCTCTGGTAAATGTTTCACAGACTCAAATATAAAAGTGCTGCACCAAATAAATGGCTAATGTAAATATCAAAAAGTATTTGGATAGAGGTAAAGAAAAAACAGAGGCATGTATAATTTTATGAAAGGGATCAAAATATTTATGTACAATAGATCCCCCCACCCCAAGGATCACGAGTGTATAGTAAAGTTACTGTGAGTTACGAGAGCCTTTGAAAACAGTTCTGTCAAAAAAATGGGGTTTTAGGCTTTGTCAGAAATAAGTATTTATTCAATGCACCAAAATAAATTTAAAAAGCAAACAAAATTAAACGTTTGATTTTTCCCCTTAAGGTCTTCCAAGAGCTAAGAAACTTTAGTTCCCTACCAATGAAATTTCCTTCTTTACCGACTAAACAACTCAAATGGACAGTTTTTAGGTTGTTTGGTCCACCATGTTCCAGGCCATCGTGCTCAACCCACAACAATAATAAAAGTGACGTTACCTTAGAATCTCTGCTTTGTAACCAGTGATTGAAGAGGATATCAAAAGCAGAATAGATTTCATTGGAGAACGTGTCTTTTCTGACGGTGGGATCTGGAGCTTTGTCCAGGTTGGCCAAATACTCCAAGATGCTGTCGCTGAAATGGCACAAAGCTGGAAGGAGTAAAGAGGGAGAAGACAAATGGGAAAAGAAGAAATTAAAAAATGATGGTAAGCTGTAATTTTATATTCTATACATTTATTCAAACATTTTCCCCAAAATCCAATACCATTCTTTAAAATGGGGAGGGGGGATGTTTCATAAAGAGGGTACCATAATAAGTATTTTATGGAGGTTCCTACCAGATGAGAAGACCCACTTCATGTTGTCCTGTTTGGCCATGCCCAGCATAGGCAACATGGTGCCCAGTATGGCATTTATGAACGGTACCATCCCATAAACTGAAGAACAATGAGAGAACAGAATGAGTGGTACTTTATCCTGATGTATGCTCAATAATACAGGCAGATAAATCTAACAAGGTAAAGTCAGGTCCTGTGGACAGATTCTTTTTGTTGAAACATTTCTGCTTTTATCCAATAAACTTGTTCGGTCATGACTGAAGGTCTTTTGGAAAAAAGACTAAATGTTTCAACAAAAAAAGAATAAATCCAGAGGACCCGACTTTACCTTGTTAGTGGTACTTTATGCTTCGTGTTCTTGCTCAAAGAGGAGGTTTTAAGCAATAGAGTTATGTTACGTGTCACTTTTATGAAAGAGTCTGCTTGATTAATGACCTGTTTCAGGAAATCTGTTCAACACTGAAATAAACCAATAACACCATATACTCTTTATTTTGTTAACTCTTGAAAACTTTTCATTACATTTTTTTTATGGCACAGGGTTCAAACGGTTTATAATTGATAAAATTCGCATGATAACTTCAGAAATGCAGGCACTGCAAACGTAAAGAGCTCAAACTAAGAGCTGAGCTTCGCTGGCTAACCCTCAGTCATATCATTTAGGTTTATCTTGGGGGTTAGGTTAGTAAATCAAATGCTACCTTGGCAGATGAAATAAAAATGATTTATGTCCATCATTATTATTATTATTATTATTATTATTATTATTATTATTATTATTATTATTACTACAGTAGTCCCTTGTTACTTCGCGGTTTGACTTCCGCGGACTCGCTCTTTCGCAGTTTTTCCAACGATTGTCAACTTTAATGTTACTCACATGATTGGGACGGTATGTGATAAATTAACGAAAAAAAATACTACGGACAGGCACCTCCATTTTGTAGTTTTCTTTCAATAAGCCTATACTGCATCACCAGTCCAAAAGAACTACATTACCCACAAGGCAACAGCACTTCCAGCTGCTGCTTTCTGCCAAAATGGAAGGAAAGTTTTGATCTGAACCAGACTAAAAAGTTCAGTCCTTATTCATAGTGACTTCGGCGCTCAATGGATGCAGAGAGCCGATCAGAACCAAACCAGAACCAAACCAGAACTACTTCCAGCCTCATCGGTCAATTTGAGTGCTGTGCGATGGCCCATGAGGCCTCTCGAGCGGGGAGAGGTTGCTTGGAGGTTCGGTGTCTACTCTGGAGCTCACCCAGATGTTTTTCATCCGGATTCCTCTGAATTATTTGGACTCGATCTGGACAATCGTGTGGTTTTGTGCTGGCTCTCCCAACGGTCCAGCTCTCTCTAAAAGCATCTGGTGCTCAACGGCTGCAGAGCCGATCAGAACCTGACCAGAACCCCATAAAAAATGTTGCAAGTGCTGTACAGTACATGTACATATGTTGTTAAAAGTATGTAGGTTTAAGAGTTTAGAACATTGCAAGAGAGTGGGAAGGGTTTACACAGCCTAAAAATATATAAACACAAAAATAAATACGTTTCTACTTTGCGGTTTTTCTCTTATTGCAGGGGTGTGTGGAACGTAACGTAACCCCCGCAATAATTGAAGGACTACTGCAGACTCCAAAAATACCGGTCAACTTGAAGGTTTTTTTTAAATTTCCTTCTGATAAAATCAAAAGCACCATCACGAATAGAACAAATCCCACGTCTAATCAGTTAAAAAGGTTGAGTGATCCTAAATAAATACATTCTTTGACCTGTAAATGCTGTTTGAGAGCAGGTTTAACAGGTTCCTGTTTTACTCAGTGACTACAAACTGTTATCTATTGTTTAAACTTCCCTATCATGAGGCGGACATGTTGGGTGTGTGTCCTTGTGGTCTTTACCTTGTTGGAGATATAAAAGCAAGTTTCCTTCCTTTAGCTTGTTGGCAGTAAAGGTTTTCTTACCGTTTGAATCCGAAAGGTTGGCTAGTGTTTGGACCACAAAGTAGTGAGGCAGGACCCCTGGCTGGAACTTGCTTAGTATCTCCTCCATGATTTCATTAATGTATTTGTTTCCTACAGCAACCAAGATGTTACTGGCTGCCTTCTGCCAGTTACGAATGACCTCCTGTGTCAATCAGCAAGACAGAACAAGTTAAACATGTCGTAGCCGAAAATATTACATCATACAAAAGTGGAAAGGGATCTTCGACTACGTGCACGTGTTGGCCTTATGACATTTCCCTACTTTACTAAAGGTTGCAGTTTGGGACACGTGAAAACACTCAACGTAAAAATTTATGTCATCACATTTTTCACTTATGCATTCTGGGACAATGACATGTATATGTTGCAAATGAGACAAAAGAAGTGAAGGCTAAAATAGTTATCCATTACTCCTTATGGAAGAAGAATGGGTCCAAATGATCAATTGTGATCAACTTGTGATGTTTAGTACATTAGCATTGGAGTTACATCATATAAATTAGCTTTAGAGCCAACATGAAAGTGAAGGGCTAAAGCCGAGGCGTGCGCACCCCATGAACCAGCTCTGCCGTCGTGGCAGCACCGACTGCTGTCAGTGTGCTCTCCTGGTGGTTCATGTGTGGCTGCTTGCCAAGTGCTGCGAGTTGCTCTACGGAGCAAAAGCTTCATTTCACATCGGCTCAACACCCCCGAGACTTCAATTAGGACAAGCAACAGTTAATGGATGGATGGAAGTGACAAAATGTTTGTTATACAATGTGTAACTACTCTAATATGTCTGAATACGTCATGACCAGCTTGTGATAGAAAGCAGAGCTCTTTGCGGTATAATCTCTCTCATAAGCTGCACAAACACCAGCTCTTCTGTCCGACTCTCCATCCAGTCTTCCTCATTAAAACTTCCTCATAAAGACTAAAACAGCCAACAGTGTTTCTACCATCTCATGTTTAGAGCTGAAGTAAATGTCTATCAAATATGCTCCATTGTTGCAAACGGGTGGAAATCCCTTTAAATACATCATGTAATCCAAAACTTTTTTAATGTTAAGAAAATAAAGTTAAACAAAAAGCTGTTGCTTTACCTTTGATCGAGTCATTTCATCTGAGGCCAGAGAGATGAGGCTCTTTATTCTGAGCGCGCTCAGATCTTCTATACTGCAGCCGACTATCAGCTCAATAGTCTGAAGAATCACAATTCTGTGGGTCACCACCAGCTGCAGGAGGGCGAGATGACGAAGAGGGAAAGACGAGTGTTTAAATAAATAAAACAAGCTTCAAAATGTGAGAAAATAAATGTAAATAAGAGAAACAACACATTTATCTGAAAATATTTTAAAGTTCTAAATGTTTTTCACTGGTTCTCAAAAAAGACATTCAGAAATGATGTCAAGCCATTTGTAGTAGCTGGGTTCAGTCTGCCGTTTTAATGAAGCCCTGGAGACTCAGATGGGTCCAACAGGGTAATAACAAATCCACCTGAATCAATTTGTCCTTTTAAAGTTCAGACGGAACGAGTTTTGGATTTCAGACAGACGAAGTGAAAAATGATCAAGTACTGGATGGTTTGTGATTAAAATAGAAAACTGCAACCCAAGTAAGCAATGGTAAAATGGGAAATAGTTTATTCCTAAAGCATGTTGAATACTTTAGGACGTGTGTCAAACTCAAGGCCCATGGGCCAAATGTGGCCCTCGTTGACATCTTATGTGGCCCCCAAGATGATATGTGAAACGTAAAATACTTCATCTCTTGAATGTTTTCAGTAATCTTTGATTATGATGTTGAAAACACAACAGAGAACATTAAATGAGACCAATCAAACTCTTGTTGAGGAACCTGTGACCAAGAAAAGATGTTGGGGATCTGATTTGAGTTCATGTAGTTTCTGAAATTGGCCCTCAGTTTGAAAAAAGTTTTAATTTTGGCCCCTTTTGTGAGTGAGGTTGACACCCCTGCTTTAGGAGGATGCGATGCGTAAAAACAGATCCTCTGAACCTTTTCCTCACATGTAGCACCTCATTTATTAATTTCCAAACTTTCTAGTCTGTTGATCATAAAGTTTAATTCATGGACATCAAAGTTCATGCTCAATCATCCAGGTAAAAAAAAACAAAACAACAATGTTCAGTCAGGTCATCTGGACTTTTTTTTTTGTTTTGAGACACGTTTCACCCTCCATCTGAAGTAGGCGTGTCATTTCTGAACCGGGCCAAAATAATGTGCTGGATGGACCGGGTCAGTGTCAGGCTTTTGATTGTGTCAGCGGACGCGCACTGCTGGTGATCCAAATTGGATCGTCAGCCACACGCGTCCACTGACCGTTAACTTTAATATTATAACTATAATAATCTGCTGACTCTTGTTGATAAACAAGAAATCTTATATCTCCCTTCTTTCGGATGAGAGACGAAACATTTCTACAATTTTTTTTTTTTTTAACCCGTCCAGAGGACCAGACTTGACTTTTTTTGGATTTTTTTAAATCATGTCAAACTGATTTGCTTAGAAAAGCAGTAAAAGCTTAATAATAAAAAAAAATTAAATGAGGGTGGAGGCAGATGAGAACGCTTCACCTTTCCCACCTAAATCTTTGTTGGCGTTCAGGGGATTTGAACTGGCGACCTCTCGATCACAGGCTCGCCTTCACCACAATTTGTACAAAAGTTAAATATTTAGTGCAATAAATAGTTAAACTCAGATGAATTAATCTTTCAATAAAACAGTTTCCATGGTGACGGAGCTGGTCTTATCCTGATGCCCAAAGCAACTGCCTGAAGCGGTTTCATTTCCTGATTCAAACCATTTCGGGAATAACAGAACACACATCAGAACCCATTAATCTGCTGATGTACTGCCAAAAATTAGCATTACTGCTTAAACTTAGTTCTGCAAAAAGATGGTGACTTTCACATGACTGACCTAATGATGAATGTGTGAAATAACGTGAGACCGGACACAGAAAAAGTAAACACTGTTGAGTCATCGTGACTTAGATCAATACGGTTTCCTGTTGTGTGACAGACTTGTCCGTATATTAAATTTTTTTTTTTAAAGATGTCAGGTTGTGAAGAAGTTTAACAGAGCTTACACATTTATTAAAAATTACTGAGGAAAATAAAAATCTACAAAAACCATTAGATGCACAAAACTAAATGAACATTCCAGTCATGGTGGCATGTTACATTTCAGATCTATTATTTATCATTGAGGATTGTTATAAAGCAGCTAAAATGAACAGACTCAAATCCTTGTAGTTTAAGATATTTTAAATAAAAATTACAAGCAGTGTTAAGTGTGTTTTGGATACAGGACTAACAACTCCTATATTAAAAAAGATAATACTTTTCACAACACAACTGGGAAGAGTTTTAAATCTCAAAACAGATGCAAATGCAACAGTAATTCTGCGTAGAGTCACATTTCCTTTTTTACAAAGTTAATGTTCAGAACAGTCTTGGTGAGTTAAGATTCGAAGGTTGTGGCCGATTTGATTGTAAAAATTACAAAGAAAGAATGTCCTGAAGCTGCTCAACAACCCAGGTAGATAAATCCAACAAGGTTGAGTCAGGTCTTCTGAATGGATTCTTCTTTGTTGAAATGTTTCCTCCTTTATCCACAAAACGTTGGTTACGTACTGTAACCCCAGATTCTATGAGTATAAGCGTAGCCCTTTAAGGCCTTCGCTTTAGTGGGTTTATCCCGTTATGCAGAGCATAAGCACTGAAAAAATTAGTCCACGCCCACCTGCTGTGTGGGCCCCACCCGGTCCGTATAAATTACGTTAAGAGCGGGAAATCGGCTCCCAAAATAGCTTTTTTCTTCAGCCATTTAGGAGCCAGTGAGGCCCGACGCTTAAAGGGCTACGCTTATACTCATAGAATCTGGGGTTACAGTACGTAACCAACGTTCTATGTCGTATAAGCTTCGCCCTTTAAGGCCTTCGCTTTAGTGGGTAAAGGGCGAAGCCGATGTGGTCCTCGCCTCACTGGGTCCATTCGAACACAGTAAGAAGCGGAAGCTTGCCCAAAAAACGTCTTGTCACTCAGCTCCCCGTGTGCATAACTACGCATCGCGTAATTATGTGCCATGCACAGACGCATGTTGTGTAGCTATGCGTTCTGACAAAGCATGAATACCCCGGAAAACTTTCAACGGGAAGAAGAAGTTGAAAAGAGGGGGGGGGGGGGGGGGGCGGGCATGAACCAACTGGTTCATGGCTGAACAGTATAAAGAGATTAATGTCCATAAATTGATTATTAATCAATTGAACTGATTGGTAACAATAATCATGAACTGATTAGTGACAATAGAACCAAAATCACAGACACGACTTGTGACTGAAAACAACATCTCACACTGTAATGCATGCAGACAGAAGTGAGCTTAAACAGAGTTCCATGAGAACAACAATATTCATTCTGTTAGAGCACTAAGGACAGAATGTGTCATGGAACGAGCCGTTACATCACGTAGGTAAAAGCGAATAAATGAGCAGGGTGTTGACCATGCAGCCGCAGTGCAAATGTCCTGCATTGACATACCATTATGCAGAGCAGACGAAGATGCGATACCCCTGGTTGAGTGTGCTTAGAGGTTGACAGGAGGCCCTAAATCTGATGCTCTGTAGGCTTCAGAAAAGGCCTCACACAGCCAGAGTGACAAGCGCTGGATGGATAACGGCGACCTGCAGAAACATCTCTATAATGCACAAACAATTGTTGAGTTTGAAACGCATTGCAGCTGTGCGCGTTATGTAACACGTCAACGCCCTCACCGGGCAGAGAAGATGAAAAGATGCTTCCTCTTCTGATCTGTGGGGGGGAAAAGACCCCTCCAACGATATCACTCTTGATTTAAAAGAGCTCGTGATGTTTTAGGCATAAAAGCTGGGTTGGTCTTAAATCAGCTGAGCTGCCCGTCAGCCTAAATTCTAAGGCATGACGAAGCAACAGAGAGGGCAGATAATTACTCACCCTCTTAGCGGGTGTTAAAACCAGCAGCAGGGCTGTTTAAAGAGACAAGAATTTAAATGAAACCTGATCCAGAAGCTCAATTGGAGCTTTGATCAGGGCTCGCAAGACCAGCGTTAAATCCCACTGTGGAGCAAGTGGACATGAAGCAGGCCTGTGTCTCTGAACATCTTTTAGAAAAACGCTTCATCAGCGGGTGATTAAAAGCTGTTCTGTCTCCGAAACCTTCGTGGCAGGAATAGATGACTGCAACTGTACGTTAAAGCGTACTGAATGCCAACTCCCTATCCATCAGCTGTTGTAGAGAAAAACAACACGCCGCCTAAAAGGCATGAGGTGGCCTCTAAACCTTCTCTGTACACCAGCGCTGAAAAGCCGTCCCCTTTGATGTGTACAGAATTGTGGTAGATGCAGCACGTGAATCTTGAATTGTGCACACTATCTCCTGAGGGAGACCCATCCTCTAAGTGGGACCGCTCAGCGGTCAGACCCACAGGTGTTGACCTATTTCTGGGTAACTCTTGGTCGCTCCTCCTGCCTGAAGGAGAGCATCCTCCCTCCACGACAGTTCCACGGCGACCCGACAACAGACGTTGCAGGCCTGGGAACCATGGTGCGTTCACACGCCGGGAGCCACCAGGAGAGCTGTCAATCCCTCCTCCTGAACTCGGTTCAGGAACCGTAAAAAACAGGAGGTGGGGGAAAAGAAACGCGTATAAAAGCGTTTTGGGCCACCGGCTGTGAGCAAATGCGTCCCCCCCAGCGATGGATCGTCTCGCGGGCTCAGGGAAAACCATAGTTGACACTGAGCGTTCTTCTCGCGTCGCAAACAGGTCCACAGCTGCTTGCCAACTTCTGCTGCGTCTGAAAACATCAGGTCTGGATGGAGGGTCCGGTCCACGTTCAGAACACCGGATATGTAAACCGCTCTAATAAAGAGCAGGTTTTGATGAACCCAACTCAGTAGCTTTCGCACAATGTGTAACATCTGAGCTGAACGCACACCCTTGATGGTTATGTACGCAGCAGTCATCATGTTGTCTGTGTGAATCAACACGTGTTGATTCTGTAGCACGGGAGCAAAGTGTTGAATCACATTCAGTACTGTGCGACACTCCAAAAACATTGATGTGGGCTGATGTGTAGTGGGGCCACAGCGCCCCTACTGCTTGAGATAGGCATGTCCCCCCCCCCCCCCCCCCAGCCTGACAGCAACGTGTCCATGAAGAAGACTGACCCGTGAC